AATCAACTGACCTTCGACCTCTTTCCTGCCTATTTGTTCTACCACATCCAACATCTACCCTACCTGTAAACATACGTCCTTGTTGTGGTTGTGGTGATTGTTCATCCCATTGAAAAGGTTGCCACTCATTCCTTTTAGGTGACCAATAATACTCTTGATTTGGTTGCACAGAAGCTGATAGAATATCTTGTGGTTGGACAGGTGATGCTTCCATAGGAATGTCATCATGCTCAGAAAATGATGGCTCCATAGGCAACAATCGTTGTTGAGGCGCTAGGTCTTGCATCTGTGGGAATAACCATAGACAGTTCATTGCATACAATGTGTACCATACCCGATATTTATTAGAAGAATAGAAATTTCGAGGTTGGACTCCTTCTAAAATACGTTCATATCGATGCTCCCACATTATTACCCACTCATGATGTATGATTGTCCAATCCTTTGGTTCTTTTGCTCTACATAGGTCTCTGTTTTGGACTCCTTCAAGTTGTTGGGGGTTGAAGAAGAATAGGCTGAGCATATCCAAATTGACGCATCACACGGTTGGTTGCATGTCACTCTATAACTTCAAAACATATAAGAGGACTAATAGTTGACCACACTTGTTGTTCATGTCTCACTTCATCTGGAGTTACTGCATCAATTTCATTTTTCACATATGGTGTCCACAAAAACTACAATATACAAAATTTAGTAGTATTAATTCCTATTAAGAAAGATTTATATGGCTATCATGATCTAACATAATAATAAAATTTAGTAAAACTCTTTACCTCATTAACTTTCATTTAATCAAATGCTAATCTAATATTTTGAAGATTCTTAAACGGAGTATTTGCTTGATATCTAAAATGTCTTCATCTAAGAGCAAGTGGAAATATAATTGGTTGTCCTGAGATTGGAGCCAATCATGGGAGGCAATGCCATGCTCACACCTACAAAAGTATTAAGCAGGCACAAATTTCTTTAGCATCATGTCTAGAAGCATGATCCAATCCTCTATAAAGAGAGGCCAAGCATGTTGATCTCCAACTGTATTTGCCAATTTCATTCACATCTGTTAACAATTGCAAGAACTTTGGATATACCACTGAGTTACTTTTATTTGGCATCAAAACATGTCCCAACAAGAAAAGAATATACCCACGAACATGTTGTAACCTAATGTCAGAATTCAAAGAAAGCCAACCAAGGTGTTGTAATAGCCATTTTAATCTAATTTCTGATTCGTCAATGTCGTTTGAATCAGGTCGGCCTCCTATTAAATTTTCATACATATCTTGTACTACAACAGTAAAGGAATTTGTAGAACCAATCATTGCTGCACCTTTGAACTTAAATCCAAGTAACATATAAACAACTAGGTGAAATGTGTGTTTTAGGCCTCCAACATTTCACAAGTGTATTTACAAGTGAACCGTTTATTTACATTTGACAAAGTTGAGAAATTCGATCAAAGTCAGTATGATGTAAAATTTTCATAATTTATGTCTTTGTAGGCGTTATTGACAAGCGACGAAAGCGTAACAATCTCATTGCCTGTTATAAATAATATAAAAAAATATTATTGAAATAAATTATCTATATTAAATAACTAATACAAAATATTTATAAATTATAATTATTTAAAATCTAATAAATAATTATTAGAAAATATAGTAATTACTTGTTATTAATTATTTTAAATTAACTCTCAGATTTTATTAAAATATTTTATGCATGCAAATAATTTTTTACTAATTTATTTATTTATTATAAATTGCCCTAATTCATTCCATAGAAAATTTAAAATATTTAATAAATTTGAAACAAATTCAAAATAATTACTATTTAAATTATAATTATTTAAATAATAAATAATTATTAGAAGACATAGTAATTACTTGTTATCAATTATTTTAAATTATCTCTTAGATTTTATTAAAATATTTTATGCATACAAATTATTAATTATTAATTAATTTATTTATTGTAAATTATTCTAACTCATTCTGTATAAAACTGAAACATATTTAATAAATTTGAAACAAATTCAGAATAATTACTATTTAAATTATAATTATTTAAAATACAAAAAATAATTATTAAGAAATATAGTAATTACTTATTATTAATTATTTTAAATTAACTCTCAAATTTTTTTAAAATATTTTATGCATGTAAATAATTAATTACTAATTAATTCAGTAATTATAAATTACTCAAACTCATTCCATAGAAAATTTAACTAATTTATTACTAAATTAACCTAACTAATTTTAGAGGAAAAATTATCTTATAATATAATATATAAAAATTCTTAAAATTAACATAATACATTAAATAATTATTACTAAATTAACCTAATTAATTTTACAAAAAAATTACCTTATAATATAATATATAAAAAAATCTTTAAATTAACATAATAGATTAATGATAATATATAAATATATATTAAAATACACACTAAAAATATATTAAATAAAATTATAAAACTTACATTTAAATTCTAGATTCGTTCAAAAATATATTTTCTTGAATCAACAGTTGTATTTTTTGTTATTTTTAAAAAAAAAATTTATGATTTTCTACTATCTCTCTCATACATTTTTTTCAGCTGAAAAGTCTTCTTTTCTACTTCATAATACTCTTCTCGCACATGGAGCAATGGAGTGCATGATGAATGAAGTCAAAATTTGTCAATGACAATTTTTTAGTGTTCAGAGCTTAATCCTGTCATGTTTCTGTACATTGTAGTATTTGTTGTTGCTTAAAGATGCTGTTAGTAACTTTAACCCTTGAACAACGTCAAAATTATCATTTACAATTTTACAAAAATTTAAAAATACAGTTTGTTCAAATTAAAATTGTCATTGACATTTTTATAGAGATAAAAAATTATAGTCTACATTCTACAATAGTAATATTTATAATAAAATCACCCTTTACTTTTTTTTTCTTCTCATATTTCAATAATAATACAAAAATGACCATATTTATGAACTTCTTTTCATAATATACTATATTCCAATCACTTTCCCTTGATACGATAGACTAATTTATTTAAACCAGTATCACGGACAGGAAAAGTTGAACAGAAAAATTGAGTCTGGTCAAAATATGACAAAGACCGAATTCGTAGCTTTTGAAACTTCAAATCCCTGCGAGTCTTTCTCATTTTTCTTTATCTAGACTATTGTTATTCTCGACAAAAGACAGTTATATTTGAGTTGGATAAAAATATTATGGGCAACTTTTTTAAAGATATTTAATACAGTTATATATTCAAAACCCTCTTGTTTATTTTTTCCTGCAGTTGCAATCTACATTATTAGTTAAAAAAAATAACATTAATATAATAATTTTATAATACTTTATATAACTATATTATTATTATTATTACTACGTTACTTGTTTTATTTTAATCTTTTATAAATATAAATATTTACTTTTTAATCTCTTATTTAAAATTTATTTGTCCCACTTGCCGACTTTTGCTTATCACTGAATTAAATGAATTCAGACTACATTCTGTCTTTTCAATAAATTGTATATTATTTCTAATTGTTAAATGAATAAATTTATTAAATAGTACACATACCTGTCATTATAACAATTCAAAAGATTCACACGAAGGATTTATTACATTTACATGTACATGAAATTATGAATAAAGTTAATTTATTTAATAAAGAGTATTGTGTTTGAATTCTAAACTGAAAATTTGTATTAAATAAAAGCCCTAATTTTTATCTAGTATTATAATTTATTTACAAAACAGATATTGATAATTATATATATATATACACACACACACTTTAAAACAAATTTTAATTTTATTAAAATTAGTTATTTTATCAAGCAAATACTCATTTTAACTATACATTATAAGAAATTGTTAATATTTAATTTTAAATATAATTAAATATACTTATTAAATATACATATATTAATCGATAATTTTAAGGCATAGTGATTGTTAATATATTTTTAAAAGTATATTTGATAAAATAATTGTATAAAATTTGTCAAAAATTTAAATGGTTATAAAAAAGTATAAAGTAAAATTCTATATTTAAATGAATAGTTACAATAATCTATTTAATTAATTTATTATAAAAATAAGTATTTAAATATTTTTAAAATAAATAAATTCAATAATTAATTTAAAAAGTATAAAATAAAATTATATATTTAAATAAATGGTTACAATAAGCTATTTAATTAATTTAAATATTTTCATCCCACTTGAATATATAAAAGTAATAATTATTAAAAAATCGTTATTTAAATTTTAATAAACGCTTTTGTTAATAAAATTAGATTATTTTTAAACGTATAAAGCCAATTCCAATAATTAATGTTAACATATTTTAATAACTTTAGATACTTAGATTTATTCGAGAAAGGAATTTTTTTTTTATAAATATAAACTATTATTTTAAATTAAAAATTTATCGATTATTCAAATAACCCTTAAGAACATTGATCTGTAAGATTCGTTATATAATTCCTTTAAAATTAAAGTTACTCTAATTTAAATCTTCTATTAAAAGAAAGTATTTTATTTTAAAAAATATAAATATTTTCAATGAATATTTTAACATTTCTAATTAAAAAAAAAATCTACATTCGTAAATTATCGAATGCCGTAAATTTTATTTATTATTAAAATGTTATTTATAAAAAAATATAGATAATTTTAATGAAATTTAAAATTACTATAACAATCAAAACTTATTTATATATAAAAAAAAGTAACTTTATTTTTATTAAAATGCGTGCGTGCAAGGCAGCAAGAGCCAGGAGAGAGACGCCTTTAGCACTTTCGTTGCGTTCCGTGCAGCCATCAGTCTCCATCACTTACCCGTATTGTAACCCTTCAGCACACAACCGCCTGCACGCTTCGTCCCATTCACACGTGACACAAAAAGGGTGAGAGACACCGATAGTAATCCAGTGAGGTCGCCCACACCTTAAAATTCAATTGGTAATGGATCACTTGAGTCGTCGCGGCAGCACCGATTTAAAAAATTTGTCCACCTTATCGGGTCACACCAAACAGGGCACAGAAAAAAAAGTGAAATGAATAATAGTTTCACATCCGCCACTAAACTCCGAGACCAAATCGTTGCAAAGAAGAAGAAACTCAAAGAACAGAGTTAGTGAGCCGTTTCTCTGAGGAAGCGTCTACGGTAGTAACGGTGAGGTTCTGTTATCTTAACATTCGTTTTTCAACCGTTCCTCGCGCCCCCGTGGATGGGCCAGGCAGCTTCCACGGCCACCGTCGTTTGCCGTCGCGAAAGCGCTCAAGGCAACCGCTCCGTCAACGCCTCCAAGACCAGATCCACCGCCTCGGTTACTCCGATGGTTGGTTATGGCGCCGGCGAGGACTACAACGGAAACCGTTGTGGCGAGGTTTTTACTGATGGAATCGCTGACTACATCTCCGATCTCCCGAACGAGTGCTTGGCTTCAGTGTTTCAGTTTCTCGGCTCCGCCGATCGGAACCGCTGCTCACTCGTTTGTCGGCGGTGGCTTCAGATCGAAGGACAGAGCCGTCACCGTCTTTCTCTGAACGCGCAAATAGAGCTTTTGCCGGCAATACCATCGCTTTTTTCTCGCTTCGATTCGGTGACAAAACTGGCGCTCAAGTGCGACCGCAGATCCGTGAGCATCAGAGACGAGGCGCTCGTGTTGATCTCCGAGCGGTGCCCTAACCTCACACGTCTCAAGCTCCGTGCGTGCCGCGAACTCACCGACGCAGGCATGGAGGCCTTCGCGAAGAACTGCAAGGGCTTGAAGAAGCTCTCGTGTGGATCGTGCACCTTCGGATCGAAAGGCATGAACGCGGTTCTGGACAACTGCGCCGCGCTCGAGGAACTCTCCGTCAAGCGCCTCCGTGGAATCACCGACGCAGCGGCGGCGGAGCCGATCGGTCCCGGAGTCGCGGCGTCGTCGCTCAAAACCGTTTGCTTGAAGGAGCTGTACAATGGACAGTGTTTCGGCACGTTGATTCTAGGAGCGAAGAATCTGAAAACCTTGAAGCTTTTTCGGTGCTCCGGCGATTGGGACAGGCTCTTTCAGCTCATGGCCGATCGTGTAACGAACGTGGTTGAGGTCCACCTCGAGAGGCTTCAGATTAGCGATGTTGGATTGCAAGCTATTGCCAATTATTCGAGCTTGGAAATTTTGCATCTCGTTAAGACACTTGAATGTTCTGATATTGGACTTGTTGCAATTGCAGAACGATGCAAGCTTCTAAGGAAGCTTCACATTGATGGGTGGAAAGCAAATCGTATTGGTGATGAAGGGTTAATAGCTGTTGCAAAGGGTTGCCCTAATTTACTTGAACTAGTGCTTATTGGGGTTAACCCCACTAAGTCAAGTTTGGAAATGTTGGCGTCTAATTGCCAGAATCTTGAGCGGTTGGCTTTGTGTGGAAGTGATACGGTTGGTGATCCTGAGATATCTTGCATTGCTGCAAAGTGTGTGGCTTTGAAGAAACTATGCATTAAGAGTTGTCCTGTTTCCGATAAAGGGATGGAAGCATTGGCTAGTGGGTGTCCCAATTTGGTTAAAGTGAAGGTTAAGAAGTGTAAGGCTGTTACCTCTGAGGGTGGAGATTGGTTGAGGAGGACTAGGGGTTCAGTTGCTGTTAATTTAGACACTGGCGAAACAGAGCTTCAGGAAGCGAGTGCTAGTGATGGAGGGGCACAAGACAATGGATTGGAGTTTCCTCCATTGCCTGCACAAATAGCAGCAGCATCTGCATCGGCTAGTATTGCGACATCGAGCAGTACTGCTCGGTCTAGTTCATTCAAGTCAAGATTAGGACTTTTGTCTGGGAGGAGTTTAGTGGCTAGCACTTTGAGAAGATGGTCGGGTGGTAGTACTAGTGCGCGCCATGGTTAGGGACAAAGCTAAGGCAAACCTGAGTCGTTGACCATTTTTCATTGTTTTGTGTTGTATCATTGTTTTGTGTTGTACTAAAATTTGAAATTTATGCCTTGTGATGTTTATTGCCCTTTGAATTGAATCTTCACCGTTGAAGTGACAATCATATTTTTTCCCTCTTTAATTGTCGTTGGTGCTCTACTTTGTTTGGTAGACTCACTTATGTATCCTCTCACTGATCTGGCGGATGTCATTTCATATCATATACATACATGGAGGATAATACTACATATTAAAAAACTAGAAATATTAAAACTGCCACATATGAGACATTGTTTGCTTGTTTGTACGTTTTAAACAGTCTATATCTCTTGAATTTCTTTCTGTGATTCATATTCACATCACCTTAGCCTACTGCACAGTATTGTATCAACTTAACCTCGATTCCTAGATTTGATTGATTGGAAACTACCGCATGTAAAGTTTCATGTAGGCTAAAGAAGAGCTGGCTTTTATGGTGCAAACTACAGTATTTTGTGTTAGATGTTTGATAATGAATGCTCTGATGTGCTTCATTTTTTGTATGCACATTTGTTTAGTTTTTTTGTGCTGCAACTGGGGGTATTCACTCTAATCAGTGTATGTAAGACTTCTGCATGAGTTTGGCAGGATTTGATTTCATTGGTAGCAGGCAGGTGACGTTTTATTTGCATCCGTTGTCTTTTTGGAAGACAAGGGCAAGTGATACAAGCCCAATTGTTTGTTGATTTCATTGAAATTACTGAACTGCTATTATTCTTTGATTTACCCTCTCTCTTCCTTCGAGTTTCCCCTCTTAATTGCTGGATAACAATGCCAATGCTATTTGGGGTTGGAAATTTCAAGGTACTTTGATCTTATAGTGTAAAGCTAACAGAAAATAAGGATTTTTTTTTTTCGGGTTCGTATGTGTTGAAGGCTTCATTTTCGTTTTGAGTTTTTGGGTTTTCATGTTGATAACATTGCTAAAATTGTGAGGAAATTATGTTGATTTATTTCTGATTTGAGAGTTATGTTGATTTGTTTCACTTGTGCATTTTGTTGCCATAACCCCCCTTCCCCTTTATTCTTGCTAACGACAGTTTAGTGTGGTGCTTTAACCTGTACTTGAGGCGAAACGCTAGATCATATATTTTTCATACCCTGATATTTAGTCGTAGACGATTTGTTATTGCTGCCAACATATTCGTCAAACACTTCAAATTTTAAATTCTTCTACAGAATATGGTTATACATAACCAGTCTACGATGCTCCTTATTTATGTTAAACGGGGCATCCAAGTACCGTTAGATTTTTAAAAAAAAATACTTACATTGCATGTTACTATTGGTCGTGATCATGGAAAAATTTCTTCCATAAAAAAATGTGACTGTTTGAGGATTATTAATTTAAATATAGAATTTGAGTTATATAATTACAGTAATATGGTATTTTTGACAATTTTATGCAAATATGACTTTAAAAAATTGTTGGCGACGATTTTTTCCTAATCCGAGTTGAAAGATGCCATGAATAGTATTTGTAGCATGGGAATAGTGTCATCCCGGAGTAGAAAAATTGCTAGTGGCAAGTTTTACTTCACTATGCATTCTTTGGTGCACTGAACGTGTTGTCTCACCACCTGGCACGGTGAAAAATCGCCACTAACGAGTTTTATTAACACAGCAGTGTCACATGATGAGCAGGGAAGAAGGAAGCTATTTAGGCCTCTCGAAAAGTTGCCACTGGCCATTTTTTAGGTGCGTGGATTGTGAGGGTTGCTGGAAGAGAAAACCAAAAGAATAATTGTGAAGGAGACTAGCAAGAGAGTGAAATAAAAATTATAGAAGAAATAAGTAAAAGAGTTAGATTAATTTAAAAAAACATGTGCTTTAAAAAATTGATCAATATGATTCCTGATACAAGTATGTATTCACACAAGTACATTTCAAAATTATTACGTATTCAAAATGTAAGTAATTATTTTTTATTTTTGTTATTAATAATTTAAATTTTTAATTAACATTATAATAAATTAAAAAAAGATTTATTAATTTTCTTAAATATTGAAAAGTTAATATTAAGAAATGTATAATATAAAATAATAATTTTTAACAAAATTAATATTATAAATAATAAGTATAAAATAGTTTTTGATTTTGCTAATTACTTTAATTATAAATTAATATAATAAATTGTATTATTTAATGTGTTTTGGTAAAGTTATTTAATATAAAGGTTATAAACAAGAATTAAAATTAAGTGTTTTAAGTAATTGCGATTAATAAAAAGGAATGAATAAATAATTTTTTAAATTTGTGTAGTTATAATTAAATAAAATAATTTGTTTTTTTGAATTCATGAAAATATAATTATATATATATATATATATATATATATATATATCATAGTTTAGTGATTAATTAATAATTTTTTGTTTCAGTTAATGAAAATAGTACGATCTTGTTACTTATCGATAATGTCACCTTGGCCTAAAATAAATAATATTCATAGACTTGATCATGTTGAATAAATATGTCAAATACATATAAACGATTGTCTTGTAAATGCACTTGTTGAATGTTAGAAGTCAAAAATCCTTATATTTCATATTTCTTGTGGAAAGAGTATAGTAACATTAGAAGATATTGCTATATTACTTGAACTGTGAATCATTAGTCTATCAGTGATTGGTTCTATTAATTTGAATATAGTAGCATTGCTGAATATATGTGAATAGTTACTAAGTTGTCAGCCCAAATCAAAAGATATTGAAGATTCAAAAATAAGATTAAAGTAGATCATATAACATTTTAGTTGACTTCTTGCTAATTCAAAAATTAGGTTTGCACAACATGCTTATAAATATGTGCCTTCTTTGTTGGTGCATGTTCTAATGTCAAATAAAAACAATTTAGTAGTACATGAAAAATTCATATAGTTGTTGGTGAGTGTCAATAAAATTGGAATGCATACTTGGAGTTCAACATCCCTTACCCTTATGTATAGAGATCTAGATGTGGTTCACGACATAATGCTAAAACAATTTGTAGGTGCCTATACTTGTTTTTTTCCTCAAACTAGCCCAAACAGGTCATTCATAATCTATGTCATAGGTAACACATTTACAATAAAACGTATTTGGTTCATACTTAAAGATTTTTCAGTCCACTCCTTTCGATATATTGTAATGCTTAATTATTCGTATAACAATTTCTTTGTCATTAAATTGCATTCCAACATACAATTCTCCGTCTACTTTACAATGACCTATCAAACACAAATAAATAAAAACTCGTTCAAACAATTAAAGATAAATTTATGAGTATAAATATAATATAACACGTCAGATACCTTGTAACACTTTAATTTAATTTTCAAGTAATAATTTCGCAAAATAAGAGTAATAAAATTTTTATTTAAAAAAAAAGTCTCATCATAGAATTTCATAAAATAGTTCAAAACAACAAAGGATTACAAATTTATATCAAAGAATGTTACAGAACTAATTTAGTTACATCATAATTTTAGAATATAATCTAAGTCCTATAACAGTTCATCTTTCTTTCGCTGAGTCCAGTGCTGATCGTCTTGGTCACATGAAAAATAAATGTAAGGGCGAGTCCTCTACACTATCTCACACACATGCATAACATAAAGACTCACCTTGCATATCTATAGATGTTCTAATATATTTTACTCAGGTTTAGGTAATCACAATTACATCGCAAACATTTCAGTTCAGTTCAAAATCGATGCACTCAAGGCACCAAACAATTTACACATGTGCACTCACTGCACCTAGCCATGCTCACTGTGGTACTGTGATTACAGTTTCACACCATGAATGGTCGCTGATTACCCCTGCCTCACGGATACCGCGTGGGCAATCACAGGTCGCTTAGCAAAGGTAGTGGTCAACGGTCTAGTCAGGAAGAGAGTGTGTGACCTGTGGTACACCCACGCTTACTGTTGGTGTCACCATCACTCTCTCTTTTCCAAGATATTTCTACTGTTCCCATCTTCCACACCTCTAGTGTATCACTGAACCATTTATAGCATCATTACAACGGCATTTACACGCCCCATTCACACACATTCCAATTTCACACAATATCCATAGTCATTAACATTACACAACACATAGGTCCATAGTCATTCACACACACGACGCAAGTGTCCACATTCATTTACCACACATGACCCACATGCCAATTCCATACACAACATTTCAACACGTCATCCATATTGATAAATGCTTTCTATACTTGATCCTACATTGTAATTCATGAATGATAATTAAGAGTTTTAAGCTATTCATTGAGAAAATTTACTATTATTAATTTCATTTTATTTATATTTCAGAAAAAAAAAGAGCTGAAAAGATATTAGAAATTGAAACACACAAAGAACTAGAGATATACATGGACAAGTATACGCCCGTGTATATAAGCGTGTATCTCACTGGTCGCGTCAATTGAAGTGTATCATCAAAACCAGAGATGTACACGGTTAAAGTACATGGCCGTGTACTTTTAACGTGCGTCAGAATTTAAATTTCTGCGAGAAGATGAGCCCTTGGGCCACTCATATAAAAGAGAAATTGGTACAGAAACCTAGGGGACACGGTTTTGAGGAGAAAAAAAGACTCAGAGACGGCTGGAGGAAGGGATCAAGCACTTTTATTCATCTCTTTTGTAATTTTAGTTTAAAGATGTTTAGGTTCTAATTTTCCTTTGAGTATCTAGACGTAATGAATCCTAATTGACCAAATTTTTTGGAATTCTTTTAATGCTATTTCATGTTCTTTTCTCTTGGGTTTAATTGAGTAGTATCAATTGTCTTCAATCTTGTTTTCTTGTTTGAATTTGAGTAAAATTCCTGCATGAAATTAACATTGCTCAATTAAAAAGACTTGAATGTATTTCTAGAGATAGAAAGACGTAAGTTTTCTGTATTAGGATTAACCCTAATTATGGAATTCATAATGAACTTAATGCAACCTAGGGGTATTAATTAAGGAAGAGATTCTGATTGATCAACCGAGGGTTAGGAATCATTATCCTTGAGAAACGTATTGATTTAATTCAGAATTTCCTGCAGCGATAAGGGTTTGGAACTAAGTAGTTGAAGAATAATTTTAGTTATTTGGACACTTAGGAGGATTTATAGTCTAGATACTCGCCTTCTCCCCTTGAATACCTTTAGTCATACTTTTCTATAATTTATTATCATAAGAAATATGTTCCTTTTAATTTATTATTCTTCTATTTTTAGTAATTTTATCAACAAAAATTTATTTATCATATTCATTAACAATTGCGTAATTAAGGAAGTAATTCTTAATAACAGTCCTTGTGGATACGACACTTGGTACTCTATTTGTCATAATATTATTCTGACAACAGGTACACTTGCTCAGTAATTAATTTTTACACACCAAGTTTTTGGCGCCATTGCCGAAGACTAGTTATTTAGGATTTCTTTGATTACGTCTTTACTAATTTTCTTTATTTCTTTAATCTTAAATTAAATTTTCTATTTTTATTTATTTGTTTATTTATTTATTTATTATTATTATTATTATTATTATTATTATTATTATTATTTACTTTTATTATTTTTTAGGAGCTGATTTTCCTGGTGCATAACCAGAACCCTGCTATATTATTCGAACTTGACCCAGAGATAGAGAGAACTTTGCAAAAAATTTGAAAAGAAAGACGACTGTTAGTACAGAAGGAAAACACACAAAACCACATGGAAGGAATGACGAACAATGAAGATCAACCAAGGACCATGTCCGATTATGCTCGTCCATCATTAACTGGAATAGAATCTAGCATTGTCCGTCCGGATGTGCAGGAAAATTTTGAAATAAAGCCCAATGTTATTCAGATGGTTCAGCAATTTGTCCAATTTGATGGGTTACAAGATGAAGACCCCAATGCTCACATTGCAAATTTTCTGGAGATTTGTGATACTTTCAAGATTAATGAAGCTACTGATGATGCAATCCACTTGAGGTTATTCCCATTTTCTCTCAGG